CTTGAGCCAAAGGGGCCGCCCTTGACTCTTCATTTTTTCATTATTTCTAGTTAGAAAGATGTTATCTCTATGTATCTGAAATGCATTCTCTAAGTTCAGTGTTCCAGGAATACTGTTATACATTTATGTAAAAACCAGTGGAAAAGTTAGTGAAAAATTATTTTAGTATAATGGCCTCAGACCCACAATATTTTCTGTTTTAGTTAGCAAATTCTCCTGAAATCATTGATACAATATCAGGTATGCTTAGTACAAGTTTGTAACTACACATTCTTTTTTAAAAATGTTAAACAGTTTGTCAATCAGAATTTCTAAGATTTTTAAACAGTCCGATTTAAACCTGAGCACCTCTGATTTTAACATAACCTGTGGTATTTTATGTTACTTTTTATTGCAGTAGTTTTCTTTAAGGTACATAAGAAAGGCTGTATTTTAAAAATACAAATTCTCCCAATCTACTAGCAGAGGTCATTGGTGTGATGGAAGAACTTGCATTGTTAAAACATCCTAGATATCACAGATACAGTAGTTCACGGACAATCATTTCAGAAACACTGCCTCGCTATGTTGGAGGAGCATATGAGGATCTACCCTTGAATTCTGGACCCAAGAGATTAAGAGAATGACCAAGATAAAGACTCAGTTTGTTAGCTCCTGTGACTATCATAACATTCTGAGTATCGCCTCTTTTTGTTGACATCTCTTCATTCAGCCAACACGAGACCTGAAAGGTGGCTGTTCTGGAGGGGACTTGTAGGTATTACTGCATCTGCGCTCCCATTGTAAGTCCAGGACCACTTTCTCTGATGGGAAGTTTTGTAGGTTGAACAGTTTTGTAGGTTGAACAGGTTGAACAGTTTTATAGGAACAGTTTTGTAGGAACAGTTTTGTAGGTTGAACAGGTTGAACAGTTTTGTAGGTTAGAACAGTTTTGTAGGTTCAACAGGTTGTACTGTTGAACAAGAAATTATTATACTCTAGAAAAGAAAAAAAATGCTTTATATAAGTCCTAAGAGATACAGCTTAAAATAAGAAAATCTGCTTTAGTAATTTTTCCCTTAAGGTACACCTGTTTCAAAGACCAGAGCATAATGGCATTGGCACACCATTTTCCTGGTGCTAGTCAGGTCCACTCTGGAAACCAAGGTATCAGAAATAAATTTGCTTGGTTTCCAACACATCATGACTTTGTGTTTTTGAACTGTATCTTAAAAAGGATCTAACCAGAAAACAATGTATGTCATTTACTTAATGCCTTGTAATAAAAGCAGTAGTTTATGATTTAATAAACATTGGTAGTTTTAAGACTACTAAAATTGCAAAATGTATGGACTAATATTATTTTAACCTGATCCAACTACTGATTACCAAAGCATTTATCTTTTTTATTTGCATCTTGACATTCTAAATTATCTGATAATTACCTTGAAGAACCAAGTCTAATTGCTTTCCCTCTTTCCTTATCTAAATATCAGTAAGGGAGAAAAAAAGAGTTGTTTTTACTGTTGTTTTTAATTCTTTTCCAGGGGAGGGTGGGGGAGGGGGTTAGGAGCTAATATCTCTAACCTCAGTAAATAAAATCTCTTGTTTTCTTTTTTGCTTTCTTTACGGGAGAGGCGTTTATCTCTCTTGTGATTTTAAAAATGTATTTACTACCAAGACTGGTGAATTATAACTATATACATAGAAACATAAATTATGACTTTGGTTTGTCCTGGCCTACTTCTTCCACAAAAAGAAAATTCTAAAATTATGTTTTATAACTGTGTTTGGATAGATGAATATGTCAGCCTAGACTATACAGAAGGAATAACTGATATCAAGGTTCTGTCTGGAGTTTTTCTTCCTAAATTTAGCATTTAACATTTTAGTACTAATCTCACCTTGCTACCCTTCTTTGATTGTTTAGGAATTGTTAGGTTTTTTTGTTGTTGTTGTTGTTGTTGTTTGCTTGTTTGTTATTTTGAGACAGAGTCTTATTTTGTTGTCCTGGGTAGCTGTGGCATCACAGCTCACAGCATCCTCAAACTCAAGTGATTTTCTTGCCGCAGCCTCCCAAATAGCTGAATCTACAGGCACCCTCTACAATGCCTAGCTATTTTTTGAGATGGGGTCTTGCTCTTGTTCAGGCTGGTCTTGAACCAGTAAGCTCAGGCAATCCACCCACCTCAGCTTCCCAGAGTGCCAGGATTACAGGCATGAACCACTGTGCCCAGCTAGGTTTTTTTTTTTTTTTTAATTAATAAAATGGGTTTTTTAGAGAAGTTATAGGTTAATGGCAAAATGTAACAGGAAGCGCAGAGTTTCCACCTACCCCCTTCTCACACATGCACAATTTCCCTCACTAGCAACATTTGGTATCAAAGTACTATGCTTGTTATAATCGATGATCATTTTATTGTCACCCAAGTTCGTGTTATTCCCTAGGGTTTACTCTTGGTATTGGTATGTTCTATGGGTTTTAACAAATGCTTAGTGACATGTCTCTGCCATTGTAGTATCATAGAAAGTAGTTTTACTACCCTAAAAATCTGCACCCTTCCTATCTATCTTTGTCTCCCACCACCCATGGCCACCAGCGATGTTACTGTCTCAGCAGTTTTCCTGTTTTCGACTGTCACATAGAATCACGCAGCATGTAGCATTTTCAGATTAGTTTCTTTCACTTAATAATATGCATTGAAGTTTCCTCCATGTCTTCTCTTGGCTTCATAGCTCACTTCTTTTAGCATTGGATAATATCCTTTTGTCTATTTTTACTATAGCTTGTTTAGCCGTTCACCTACTGAAGGACGCTCTGGTTGCTTCCAAGTTTGAGCAATTATGAATAAAGCTGATATAAACATCTGTTTGCAGGCTTTTGCGTGGACACCAGTTTTCAACTCATTTGAGTAAATACCAAGAAAAGCTATTGCTGGCAAGGACATATTTAATTCTCCAAGAAATTGCCAAACTATCTTCCAAAGTGGCTAAACCAGTTTGCTCTTCCCCAGCAACTGAGTGATTATTTCTGTTACTTTGTATCCTCACCAGTATTTGGCGCTGTCAGTATTGTAGGTTTTAGCCAGTCTAATGGGCATGGAGTGGTATCTCATTGTTATTTCAATTTGCAATTCACTAATGACTATAATGTTGGATATCTGTTCATGTTGACTTTTCATCTGTATATATTTTTAATTAGGTGTCTGTTCAGGTCTCTTGCCTAGTGTTTAGTTGGTGCATTTTTCTTCTCGTTGACTTTTGACTGTTCTTTGTAATTTCGGATAGCAATCCTTTATGAGATCCGTGTTTTGTAAATATTTTCTCTCAGTCTATGTCTCTTTTCTCATTCTCTTGACATTGTCTTTCACAGGGTGTAAGTTTTTAATTTTAGTGAACTCAAGCTCACCAGTTATTTCTTTTAATGATCATACGTTTGATGATTTATCTAAAAGGCCATCGCTACACCCAGGGTTATCTAGGTTTTCTGCTCTGCTATCTTAGGAGTTTTAAAGTTCTATGATCCATTTTGAGTTGATATTTTGTGAAAAGTATAGGATCTGTCCTGGTTCGTGGTTTTGTCCGTGGTTGTTCTCTTTTGCTGGTACCATTGGTTGAAAGATTACTTCATTCTGTTGTACGGCCTTTGCTCCTGTGTCAGTCAGCTGGCCGCATTGTGCAGGTCTGTTCCTAGGCTCTCTCTTCTGTTCCGTGCGTCTGTCTGTTCTCTCACCAGTATCACCCTGTTTTGATTACTATATCTTTATATTAAGTTTTGAAGTAAATTAGTGTCAATCTTTTGACTTTATTATTCTCCTTCAATATTGAATTGTCTGTTTGTGTCTGTTGCCTGTCTATATAAACTTTAGAGTCAATGTTTTGATACCCACACGATACCTTGCTTGAATTTTGATTGGTCTTTAGTTGAATACATAGATCGAAATGGGAGGAACTGATGCTTTGATAATATTGGGTCTTTCTATCCATAATCTCCATTGAAATATCTCTCCATTTATTTAGCTCTTCTTTGATGTGTTTTATAGTTTTAGAGTTCCCTTATAGGGACTTTTTGTTTAAGAAGTCTTTATTTAAGAAGTCCACTTTACGTATGTGTCCTCTGGCAGACATGAAAAGAAGAGGCCTGCACTTTCCTTTTGAAAGATTTGGTCAAGTATTTCTAAATAACTGAGCTTCAGGGAACGTTTTTGCTGTCCCACCTGTTTTTTACAGCATTAGTCTTTTAAATTGACACAGATATTTGCATATATTGAATACTGGAATATTTTTATTATTATAATTGTTAGCATGATTCAAGGGAAAACATAACTTTAGATGTTTCAGATTATGAAAAAGAGAGTAATCTTCTACCTCTCTATTTAGCCCTGTTCTTTTTCTCACTATATTTCACTAAGAGAAACGATCAGGATTCACATCTATTTATGAAATAAATAGCAACTTTCAGTGTGGTTATTTTAATATCTTCTTTTTAAATTAGCATATCTAATATTTCCTCTCTTTTTATAACACAGCCTTTTTATACTCCAAATTCCAGTCTGAGTTTCTAGTTTGAGTCTCCCGTTTATGTTTTAGAAGACAATGATTAATTGTATACCAGGAACTTTGAAACTTACTTTGTACACGACATGATATCACATTTTCAAATTTTTTTATTAAATCATAAACACACAGATAATGTATGCATTAATGCATCTATGGGGCACAATGTGCTGATTTCATATAGAATTAGGAATGCTTACATCACACTGGTTAAAACATACTTCACCTCATTTACTTAATTACTGTGTTAAGACATTTATACTCAATACTTAATAGATCCAACATGTACCCTGGCATTATGCACTATAGGTGTGATCCCAAATTTAACTGTAATCTCTACAAAATCAATCATATTCTATGAGATAGGCACCTTATGCATATATTTTTTACCTAGCAGGCATGCTATTATTTTAGATATAAACTCTACTTATCAAGATGATTCACTTCTTTCTTGTTTTCAACAGGCATTCTCTACTTACAATGCTACCCGCTCTAAGAGTGCTCAACGGGGATACGCTGAACCCTTATTCAGAAGACCACACTGAAGAACACTGTCAGTCAGAATTAGCACCCTTCCTAATACTTTGTCAGGCCCAGATTCAAGAATTCAACTTACTAATTGAAAACCATATCACTAGAAAAGGGTAAGATAGTTACCTTCTCTTTGTTGTAAAAATAAATGATATAATCATTTATTAACATAAATAAATAATAAAGAATATAATTTATTCATATGATATAAAAAAGTATGATTAACAAACAGTTAATGGGCATTATTTTTTATTCTTTGAAATATTCTAATACGACTTTTAAACGTATTATATCAGTAAATGTTGAAATGTTAGATAAATAAAAGCACAAAAGGTTTTAGGAGGTAAACAGTCATTTCACTAATCATCAATAAATAAGTCATAAATTTACGGTGGGCAAGACTATCCTCAAAGAATTCACAGATTAATGTAAAAGAAAATTAAATACATTAACAGTTATAATGGAGCAGAGCAAGTTCTATATCATATAATGCTTGTCAGGTATTGAGGTATCATAGCACACACATGTTTACATGTTAAGACAGTACTGAGCACTGGGGAGAAAGGCAGTCAACACTCACCCATAGTCAGAGGACAGAACTTGAAAAATGAAGAAAGAGAACTTTTTATTACCCACCTTGAATTCAGAATGTACTATAATGGTAATCAATGGATTCTAATTGATATTTCTGTAAAGATATTTTAAAATTTGTATTGCTCTAGAAAATGCACATAGAAATGGAAAATGAGTTCACATTTTTTCATTAATGATGACTCTCCACTGTAACTGGAATAATAATCTGTGCATATAAAGGTCTAAACTTCATGATTTAATTATGTGTTTATTATTATACTCTTATACATAATTGTCCTATATAAAAGTTGGCTTTATGTTTAAGCGTTTTTGAATATTAGTCTATTCAGGTTTTTAAAAACTCACATCAAATTACAATTGTTATAATTACTTGTAACAGTGAGATTATTTACGTTTATCTTTATGTGAACATGAATTAATATCTCCTTGTTTGTGTTTAGGAATGTATAATTTTGCATGTAAAGGTGACCTTTGACATCTCTTCTGTTGAATTTAGGTTCTACTTATTATCGTTCCTACATAAGTTTCATCATAGCATGGAAAATGGAAAGTTGACTGTATTTTGTATGTTTAATTTATAAGTGATGGTGAATCGAACCCCTAACATTGAAGACCTCATTTCTAATATTGAACTGAAGCTTTTTTACATTATCAGCTATAAAAATAAATGAAATACAGAATATTAAAATTATATTGGAGCACCTATACTAATGTCTAATAACTACCTCGTGAAGATAGTTAACTATTGCATGGTCATTACAATTGTTTAGGAAACAATTACAATTTTCCTTTTGTTTGTTATGATTAAATTTTTATATTTTTATGTACTGCATTGTTTTAGGAAAAAAACCCCATCTATTTGCTATATATTAAAAATAGCCAGAAAATATAAATAGTACATAAGTAAAAATGTTAAAAAATAAAATGGAAATAAATAAAGGGTCACCAAGAGTAAGACTTGTACGAAGTACACAGTCCTTTACATTTATTATTGAGAGCTTCAAATCTGGAAAACACAAATATGATTAATTACACAATTCTTAATATCCGAAAGATAGAAATCCAATAATTGTTCAAGAGAATCATAGCCATTTATGTCTTAAAGCATTTAAATGCTCTGCAATAGATTACTTTTCCAGGGAAAAATGGGAATAAAAACTTTCCCATAATAGAAGTTCTTTGTTTAAAGGTCCAATACAAATATTTTGTGTGGCAAAAGTCAATATAGAAAGCACTTTAAACTTTATTTCATAAATAACTTTTCCATATTTGGGCAGCCATGATTTCTCATGTTTATGGTAGTAAAAGCATGGATTTTTCTCATTCATTTGTACCAAAAATACCTAGAATAAAAATGGTCTTAAAACTTCCAGACATTTTGTCTGGACTGGTGGATCTAAATTAACTAAACAAATATTTTCAAATTATGTTAGAAATGAGATTTATTTTTATATAAACAACTAGAAATAATTTAGAGTGAATGTTATAGTAAAGCTGAATGTTCGTTTTAGGTGACATGGTATAAATTTTAAAACCTATACAAGTTTTAATATTTACTGATATAATTCTTACTGTTAATTGTCCTCATTGTTTATTTGTTCAGAGATGTATCCACGTCGGATATGGCAGAAAATCTCTGTGACTATTTCAATAAATTGATGACACTTAGTAATGAATGCCGACATGCACATGAACGTGAGAATGTCAGTATAACCAAAAGGGAAGAGTCAGAAGCCCAGCAAAACCCCAGCACTGTCAGCATTCTGCCCAGTAGACTCTTCTCTGAGGCCAAGGAAGATAAATGGGAATCTCCTGATATTTCTGAAAAACGGAAGAACTCTGCCTCCAGTTATTCTCCATTAAGCAGCTTCTCCACATGTGAAGGTTTGGAAGGAAGAAATCAGGAAAAATTAGTAACCCAGAAGAGAGATAACAGCAAAGTAAGCAGTGTTCCCACCAAAGGGATCCCGTTTGTGGAATCAATATTGACAAATTTCCTGCTAAAGAATCATCAAAATACTGAACATAATGAGAAAATGTAAGAGTTCTAAATCATTTTTCTTTAATAGGTACATGTCTGCTATCTTTAGTGGATTATCTTAATCAGTGGTACCAAATAACTTGCTAAAGAATTTAAATCACTATTATATTCATATTTCTTTAATTATGTTTTCATAGTGTGAACAAAGTATTAATGACCGTAGTGATTAGTTGGTTGAATTTTGGCAGATTCTGTTTCACATCCTAGCATTATTGAATTTAAAATGAGTAAATGTGAAATTATTCTTTATGCCATTCAATTTTTAAATAATCGAAACAATATTTTAAAAAATACAATACCATATTCTAAAAATAATTTTAAAATACTTTACAAATGACTAGGTAATTTTATTTTTAAAAATACCTACCCATATGCTATTTGTTTGCTCATTAATCTAGTAAACATTTAATAAGCATTAAATACCTTTGCAAGTATTAAGCTTCTGTGTCAAGCTAATAAAAGGAAAACATTGGTCCAGTTCAGCTTCTCTTGCAATGACTGGTGCTAAATAAGGCAGAAGTCAGAAAATCAGAGTCCTGGATCCTGCTGTGCCAAGTCTTCCTTCAGAAGTTGTCAGCACACGTAGTGATGTCTGAAGGCTATGTTAAATAGTTTGTTATGCTGAAAGTAACATGTATTTATCCATGTTTTCTTAAAGATATTTATTAAAAGTAGCTTTAATATTTCCTGACGTATGTTTTACAAATTTATTAAATTTGGATGCTTTGCTCCAAATAGGCAGATGTTATTTACAGAAGTTTCATGTAAACATTTAGAACTTCTTAATCAATCATAAATAAAGTAGCCAAAGGAAAATAGGAAGTTAGAAGAAGTGAAAAATACAGATAAATTAAGGACCTAAAGAACACAGGGGAAAGAACATGTGAACCCTCTGGATGAATCTTGGTCATCCAGGGATTTAGGAGATTCACTTTTAGTTGTACTGTGTATGGGGATTTCCTAAGCACGATTTACATATGTTCTCATGCTGTGGGCATTTTTGACAGCATGGTTTTAGCTAAAATAACAAAATAAAGATAGTGATGATGGTGATGATGATGATGATGATTATGATGATAGAGCTGTTTTTCTAACATGGAGAGCACTTCACATTTGGGAAACCTGAAAGTTTACCTTTACCTGCTTTCGATGCAGTGAAAAGCAGTCCATACTTTGTGTCATTGAAGAAAACATCCTTTGTCTACTTTTTGTCCCCCTACCTTGGAAAATTTTGATTATATTAGACAGAGGAATTCAAGAAATTAATGACTTCAGAAGAAATCCACAATTCCATCCAGTGAAAATTGTTAAGTATCTAGAAAAGGAGAAGGTGCTGTCTTATTTTAGATGTGTTTTCCCACAAGCCTTTCATTCTTGTAAATATTGCAAATTCCTTTCTTTCTCACCCAAAGTTCCTAACATTGTGTTCTGAAATCCGCTAATAGATGTTGTGTTTAAGAGATGAAAGAATGGATGGATGATTGCATGACTGATGCGTATTAAATCTGTAGAAACATTCACAGGGTCTGTTTGCCCTAGAATGAAATGATTTGTTGGAACATAAACACTTGTTTTCTCCCAAGTATTAGAAGTACAAGTATTTTATCTGACATTAGAAGTTTTTGTTATTAACTTCAATTTCCAGTTTATAGCAAAATAGATTGAAAGCATCTACTGGCTTTAAGTAAAATGATGATGGTGGTGGTGGTGAGGAGGATGATGACAGTAATAACAGTAATTAAGCAAAATAACAATAGAAATGGTTACATTATCCTTTTATAATTTCCCACAAATTTATTACAAAAAAAAAAAAACTGTAGTCAAGTTTAGTAGTTTATTAGTTAATTGTACTTCAGTTTAAACTCAATAACGGAAGACACTTCAGTGGGTTTGGCACCAAAAACTGCTTCAAAGGGACATTGGGGAATAGAGATAGGCCAAGAATCCCTTTTCCTCCATGTATCTTTTAAACCAAAATTGGGAATTTTTGAAAAGAGGTTAAGATGTACTTTGTGCCTTGATAATATTCCTATGATAATGTGAGAAAGGAAAAGAAAACATTTGTAAGGAGGAAGAGTTAGATGACTGAACACACTGAGATCTCAATTCTAATCAAAGTGCATAATTTGCTAATGTTTCTGGGCAACTCAGAGCTATGTATTTATGGACAATAAAAATGTTTTCTCTTCTTAACAGTACAGCAGCTGTGGTGATCCAGTCATACTGGCGTGGTTACACTGCGCGCAGAAACAGTCCTTTCTCCACAAGGCTACACACTACCGCAAAAGGACCCCTGCCAAATCTGTGCGTGACGAATCAGACTGTTTTAAAGAAATTAAAAAGAGATAATGTTGTGACTATCCAAGACCAGAGAGAGAAGTCTGCTATTCTTATTCAGGTTATTTTCAATCTTTTGGTAACACGGTTAGTCATATAAGATGTGTTAGTCATTTTCGTGGGTTATTCTATATTAAAAAATCCCCCAAATCTCAGTTACTTACAAATACCTGCACTTATTTCTTACTCATATGACTCATTAGCTGCTATTTGACTGTGGCTCTGTTTAACATTTACAGTGAAAGAATAGTCCTTAAGTCAGAAATACTGTTTTAATGAATGAGTATCAAGATGAACCACACAACCATATTTAAACATTGTCATCGAATGTATCATTTGTTGCCTCTACTAACATTTTACTGGCCAAAACAAGCATTACTTGGCCTAATTAATAGCTGTTTCTAGAAGTATGTCCAAAGATCTACCAAAATAATTGCAAAGTCCTTAAAATATGATTTTGTTTAAAAATTTTAAAAGCAAGTAATTAATAGACTTCATTCAACCTCATCAAACTAGATTTCAGAAGGAAATTCAAATGAATCACATTCATGTTTGTATGAATTCACTCATCATTTTTGTTTTAGAACCTATGATTTGTCAGGTACTGTTGTAGACTCAGGAAATAAAACTTCAAATAAAACAGATAAGGTTCGTGCCCTGATGGAGTTCGCATTCTGGTGGAAAAGACAAAGAAAGACTAAATAAATACATAAAATAAGGTCTGTAGAAATTTGTGGTATTATACCTGAATGAATGATAGTAATTAACCAATTCGTTCAGCAAATATTGACACAAACATCTGATGAAATTACATTATGTTGGAAAATGCAGCTAATAAATATGTTAGATATGAGTCCTAATGGAAAATATATAAATCAGAAAAATTGGTATGGTAATATCAAAGAGACATTATCATTTTAGATAGGAGAGATGTGGAAAACCAGAAAAAGTGACACTAGAATGAGAGACCAAGGCACTGGATATCTGGGGGAAGAATATTCCAGACCAAGTAATATCAAATCCGAATTCCCTGATTCAGTAACACATCTAGAGTCCATAAGGAGTAGAAAGAAGCCAGCTTGACGGGACAGTGATGAAGGGGGTAAGAGTAGGACAGATGATAGATCATTGCAAAGACTTTGGCTTTCATTCCTAATCAACATTGGAGTAATTCGGATGGTGGACTACATGGTCAAGTTTACTTTATGTTGCAGTTATACTGTGGAGTGCTGGGGCAGAAGCAGCAGAATCAGTTAGGAGGCCCCTTCCAAATAGTGGTAGCGTGGCGGAGGATATTTGCTGTGTTGGTGACAAGAAGATCACATTCCAGAATGTTGATTTATCTTCAGCGTACGTATATGTACCATGGAGGCAGAGCTGACGATGGTAGTTCATGGGTATGTGGTGCATGAGAGATAGGGAAGAGTCAGGAGAGTGTCCGAAGTGTTTGGCATGTGCAACTAGAACAGTATTAAGGTTAGGAAGAAAGAGATTAACATTTCTCTCAAGTTCCTACCTCTTACTATTAAAATTAGAGTTTTCAAGAGAATTAACTCTGCTATCCTTGTAATGAATATATCCACTATTTCATTTTACCTAATTTGTCTTTACCACACTAGTCCTGAGAACATTGCATAGACAAAGCTGTTACAGCTGCCTGAGAGTGATGGGACTGAGGAGAGGACAATTGATTCAAGGAAATTCTGAGGAAAAAAAACAAAAGGTTCTATCTGCAAACCTTATTCTGCTACATAAGGAATGTAGATGCCATACATTCCAAACTCCCTCCTGTCATTATTGGATAAGCAATATATTTTTTTGGCATTGATAATAAATGACTATTCCATTTTTGCTACATTCCTCCCTTAAATAACAAGTCCATCACCTATGAAACCGTCTGGTTCAGTGACTGATAATCTCTACTGGATGTCCATTGGTTGACTTTTTTTATCTACAACAAAATAAAGCAAAATTCAGCTATTCTTTGTAACTTGGAACAAATTTCTTTTGTGTTACATCATAATATTTAGTATCATTGAAATGAACTCAGCTTCATTTTCGCCTCTTCTGGGGGCAATCAGCCAGTTTATTAAAAAATTAACCTTAAAATAGGAATTATAGACTGGGAGAAGAACATGATAGAGAAGGAAGAGCCTGGGCTTTAGAAGTATTAAAATGAATATTTCATGAAGGATGTGCTGGAGACTTCTCTCTACTTGCTAAAACCCATGGTATTCTCTTCTTCCTGGCATAAAGCCAGGCTAGCTCTTTCAGATTCCCTTCTGGTTTATTGTGGCCCCCTTTCTGAGTGCTAGTCAACAGAATGTGAGTGGAAGGTGTGTGTACCATTCCTCTTCTATAAAACCTCCCACAGATGTGTCTTATTATTCTTTTCCCTTTCTGGTTGGCTGCAATGAAGATAACTATGAGAGCATACTTGTTGAAGAGTTTGCAAACTCTGGATACTTGAATTGTTTCTTGTTAAAGCACTGACACATTGACTTGTTTACTCTCTAAGTGTTTGTTTTGTTATCAAGAAATAAACTATGGTTTTTGATAGATCTACACATTACAGCACTTGCTTCATCTCACCATAAAGTGAGGTATACAGGGTACACATTGAGAAATAGAAATCCATGCTCAATGTAAATATGTGAGGGAATGAAAGTTATGGTATAAAAAATAGTGACAGTAAAAGAACATAAGATTTAATGTTACTAGAATAATAATAATTTACAATGCAACCAGGTGACAATAAGAAATACAATATTAAGAGAATATAAGAGTAACATGGTCAGAGATGTGTGAAATTTTAACAGGGAACAAGAATATAATTTGTTTGGGGAAAAGAGAAAAGCTGATGGTAGTTGGAGGGAAAAACAAGATGTCAAGATAGGTCCATTGAGATAGAATTCAGTCTAGAAAATTGATTTGAATGTGTGAGAAAAATAAAAGATAATCATAGCTGAACTACTGGGAGAAAAATTGTGACTTTGGCAAATTAGTAAATTAGAAGAATAATCTGGACATTACATACCAACACATATTCATTACTATTATTTCTGATAAACTGAGTAGAAAAGGATGGGACTTGCGTTCCTGATTCTAAGCAGATTCACAAGGGAGATATCTGTATTTGTCATAGCAGAAAAACACACTGTGTATTATAGTCTAGAACAGCTGTTCTCAACCTTCCTAATGCCGCAACGCTTTAATATAGTTCCTCATGTTGTGGTGACCCCCAACCATAAAATTACTTTCGTTGCTGTATTTGTACAAGGTGTATGTGACGGGTTGGTACGATGAGGTCATCATGCCAGGTACTCGTATATGGGCGTATCTGCATGTAGGCAGACAGCCTGGAGACAGAAAAAGGAGTGATGTCTCAGTTTCTGAGACCATTGGAAAACACATAGGGGTCATGACCTAGAGGTTGAGAACTGCTGGTCTAGAACATTTCAGAAGTCCTAGCCCTGATGATTTGGGCTGGATCCATTGTGAGCCACAGTAAATCAATGTTTTTGCTCATTATCACTGAAGACCTGGACAAACCTTGCCCGTTCTGGCCTCTTTTCACTAGGTTTACATCTTATCTTGATATCTTGTCATTATTGGGTTGATATAAGGGGAGGGGTAGGTAAGGATGAGATCATATTGCCTTTGACAAAAGAGAACCAAAGGAAAGAGATCATTTCTCCCTTATTCTTAGAACCTTGCCGTATTCTTAGAACCTTGCCAGAACAGGGTCAGGAAGGAAGGTATATGAAGGCTACCTCCCGGGGGAAGGAGTCCCCTGCCCATTTACTATGTTAGAGAGAAGGCATTCTGAAAGAAAGCAAGTAATCAAAAGAGAGTAAACACCAAGATAAGGAACTCTAAAATGAGAAGACGTTTGAAAAATCTTAAAGAGGTACTAATAAAAGGAAGATAGTATGTTTATCTCTTAGGTAGCTAGCATTCACTAGTCATCCTGATCACATGGCATACCTTGGTCTACAATCGCAACCTAATTTTATAGGAGAAAGTGGTCATGAATAGAGCAAAGAGCTGATGGTATTCTCCATAATGAGTAAGTGAAAAAGAGAAAAGGCCAGTTTCTTTTTTTTTTTTTGACTTTTTTAAAAATTAAATGATAGCTGTGTACATTAATGCAATCATGGGGTACAGTGTGGTGTTTTCATATACAATTTGAAAAATTTTCATCAAACTGGTTAACATAGCCTTTATGTCATTTTCTTAGTTATTGTGTTAAGACATTTGTATTCTACTTTTAGAAAGATTCACTTATACCTTTGTAAGGATAAACCATAGAGGTGATCCCTCCAATCACCCTCCCTCCACCCATCCCTCCTCCCTCCTCCCCCCCATATTCTTAAGCTATAATTAGGTTATAGTTTTTATATGAAAGCTATAAATTAGGAATACTATGCAGCCATAAAGAAAAGGCCACTTTCTTAAGACATGCTTTCAGTCTAGTCCCTCTACACAAAATGTCTTCTCTTCTGTGTGTGCCATTTGAAAGTGTTAATGTTCTTGGCTCATACTGACCTCCTTACTCCTTAGATTAGAAGACCCTAAAACTTTCTTGAGAAGTTAGAATTTGTTCATAGGAAGGTATAAAACAGAGGAATATTATCTATATTGAAATTTATTTTTAGGGGCAAAAATGTTTAAAATTTAGTCAACTGTATGTTTTTAATTTTATATATTTTTAAATATCACGTATTGTTATTAGAAAATGTTAGAAATATGGAGGCAAGGAAATTGGGGGAAATAATATTTAACAAGTGCTTATGTGACAATCATGTGCCTACTACATGATTTATGTATGTAAATTTTCTAATGTATATGACAGTCGTATATAATTTTTATCTTTTCGATTTTATAAATGATTTTTATGGTTAAAAGTAGTGCTAGCAATCACAATTTGAGTTATAATTTTGTAGGTTAGGTAAAAATAAAGACTTTATCAGTAAAAAGCAGAAAAACATAGTTTAGGCAGTAGATTAGAAAGTGCTGCCCCTTTTTGACACCCAAACCTACCACATGCTTTTCTGGAAATGAGATCTCAGTATGTAAATGGAATCTGAAGGCTGCCACATGTGTAAGTGCAAATGAGTTGTAATTCTTCTTTGATAGTGTCCTAGCATATTCCTTTCTTCAGTGGTAAGGCCATCTTGGGGGAAACTAGCATGGGCCTAATGGGTAGATGGTAACGTTTGGTTGAAAGAAATTGTTTCCATGTGAAGAAAGTGGGATCAGGGTGTGGACTAGAATACAGAGAAAATTCGAGAAAGAGTTTGAAAAAAGATATGTTTCAACTTTTGAAAAGGAAAATTAAATTTTGAGGTCAGACGTGTTGGGTGGGTAAAGGAGTGAAGTTACAGGAAACAAGGCTTCTTGGTGGGGCCAACCCCACCCAGGAAATAGGATAGATGACTATACCTATTTCTGGAGGCCTGGGGTTCTCACAGCTTTGGGGAAGAAGGAAAGCTACATTGAAAACCTATTTATCACAGAATGGTAAAATAAATCTCCCCTGTACTATCTCAGAGAAAGGAGTCTATTGATGAGAATGATCCAAAGACTGGATTAACCAGCTGTGAAAAGCCCATAGCTCTACACAGTGACACACAGTGGTGAGAATGGGGCACTATGTGTCTGCCTTTATCTGCACCTTACAGCTCCTACCCAGGACTTTAGTCTGGAAATGTTGTTGGCAAAGGAGACCATAGCACAGCTCTGATTTATCTGAGTACTGCAAGACTAGTGAGAGCCCGAATGAGAGTGCAAGGATGCATGGAAGAAAGAACTTGTGGGCCACTGGAAAAATCTTGCTCCTCTGATTTTGAACCAGAGGAAATGCATAAGGAATATAATTTAGGCTATTAATTTTTCCATGAAAATTTTACCCTTAGGTTGGTGGCCCATAGGATTCCTTGTGCATATGTATTCAAATGTTAACTGTACAGTGCATGGTTCTAGGCATAACTACCTAAAATAGCAATCCCTCCCTAGTGTTCCCTCTCCTCGGTCACCAATTTATTTTTGTCTATAGAATTTATATATCATGGAATATATTTTCCTTCTCTATTTTGTTTATTTTCAATCTCTACCCCATTAGAATGGAAAGTCTGTGTGCAGAGATTTTTGTCTCTTTTAGCCACTGTTCTATCTTCTGTGAATAGCATGTAATAGACATTCAATACATTTCAAAACCATGCTACTTATTTGCTGCCCCAGGTTGGTGTATGATGGGCACATGGCAGAATGCTGTTCCTTTGCATCAGGAATAGTGATCATTCTACATAGTCATCATGGTTGGAAATTATGCATAACAACCAGTAAAAGCAGCTTGATAGGTCATCATCCGTGAATTTCTAAGCATTATATTACAGAATATTTCAAACATACAGAAAAGCTGCAAATAACCATGGACTCACCTTCACCATGGGTTAAACTACTGGCCAATGTTGACTGTTACAACTAATTCATGTCTCCTCTTCATCACTGCATTATTTTTCAAGTCATTCCTTTCCTTCATAAATATTTTGGTATGAATGTCCGTAAGACGTATTACTTTAAATATAGCAACACTGCTATCTCAAAAATGGCCATTGCTTTTCAATATTACCAAATATCATCAGTATTCAAATATCCTCTCCCATTTTGTAAATGTTTCCTGATTTTTCTTAATCAAAATACAAACATGGTCATTCATTTGCTTTGGTTTGTCTGTTACTTAACACCTACAGTAGTTGGCACCCCCCTTATTTTCATGCAGTTTATTTGAAGAAACCAGGTCGTTTTTCTTGTACTATTTCTATTTTCTGGATTTTCCAGCTACATCCTCATGACATTCTGTTATATGATTCTTGTCCTCTTGTTTTCTATAAATTGACAATAAGATCTAATTCAGTCTAAGTTGGATCTCATTCAGGTTTTGTTTTTTATAAAGAATATTTCATGGGTGGTGGTGTATTCCACTGATGAGGTACACAGTGCTGGTGACTCGCTTTTGGAAGTATCAGTGCTCATTGATTAATATCACCTAGTTCAGTTGTGTTATTAATACCTTGCAAAATGGTGATACTTTAAATCTATTATTCTTATTCATTAACTAAAATATATCTATAAAGAAAAGCTTTGTCAGATCAACTCTTTAGTTACCTTGAGGAGTGGTTCATAGTGGAAAGACAAATTAAATGCTTGGTTTTTTTTTTTTTTGATAGTTTTTAGATTAATGAGGTCTCCTATTGTCCTTCAGAGGTCACTATGATGTGTACTATCGTAATAAATGTATAAATATTTAAAATATATGATTAATTTCATTACAGTTATCATTCTTTTTGCTCCTGCAAATTGTCCCTATATGGCAGTGTTAGTCTAAGTTAGCTTTTTTGACACAATCCAGTAGTCTTTAAAACTGTTCTTGCTTTCTAATGTACCCTGATGTTCCACATTCATTATACATACATTTTTGTTCATGGCCTGGAATCAGTCACTTCTCTAAAGATCCTTTGTTCCTTTAATGGGAATGATATATAGAGACCCTTATCTGGATTTTAGGAGTGTTTTTTGCTACTGGCATAGTCATTATTTTTGCATTTTTTTTCCAATGCAAAATTTCTTAGCTTTCAAATATATATTTTTTTAAGAAAAAAATATATCATGGGTGCATACCAGTATTTTGGAATTAGTTTAAGACTATATGAATTTTACTTATGGTTGTATGTTTGCATGTGTGTTTTTTAATAGAAAATCCTGGTTTTAATGACTTTACATAATTGCTTTATTTCCTACTCTCTCACTTCCTCAACACTTCTGCTCTGTGTGTGTGGGGGGGGCGTGTGTGTAGGTGGGTGTAAACACACACACATATATATACAATGTAAATAAACAAGGACCACACAAATGAGGAAAATACAGGCTGTTGATTCAGAACATGTTGTAACAAGGACATCAGCCATTATCACTTGTCTAGGGCATAGACTGAAAGATAGAAGGGTGTGGGAAAAGATTATAGTGGAAAAAAAAGAGGAAACTTAAGGTATGCTCTGATTGGAGGTTGTTGGTATAAGGAATGTAGGTAAGAAGAGCCTAGAAATATCATATGTTACTGGTTTAGGAGGCATATTCCATTTTCTCTGATTGGTCCTGAGTTAGAGTTAAAGCAAAAACAAGGAAGGTAGGTAATTGCTCAAGTCTTATCGACTCTTGGCTAATTGCTATGGAGTTATTTTAGATTCTTTTCTATTGATGAGATGGTTTGGCTTTGTAGACTGACTGAGGTAGAGGACATGGGTGACTTTTTTGTTATATATGGTTTGGTCATTTTTTTATATTTCACTTTTCTATATATATTTTTCAGAATGTATAAATTCTAGTATTATTACTATCAATGTGATTGCTGCAAACAGTTTTCAGGCATCTTTTGTAGTCAAATTGGCCTTTCAACTACATTTCAAATAGGTAAAGTAGAATAAATGTATTTTAACTAAATGAAAAATAATTTGTGTGCTTATCCCAAAGCAGGAAACATATTTTTATATATTTTAGTTATTTCCTTTGATTTGATATGTATTTAACCTTGCTTTTCAATTGGTTCAATATGTATATAATGCCAAAGTGAAACCCAATCAAGGTAGATTTAGCAATGTTTACCTTCTACAAGATGCCTTCTATCTTGTTTTTTTGCCTTTATAGGTAATTAATTTTTAAACTAAATTTATAATTTATACATTCATTTTTAAAGTAAATGACTGCATATATGCATATACTTCTCTCTCTTTATATGTATATATATATATGCAATATGTGTGTTTTTATTTACATGTAATTTTTCATAAACATTAGCATGCAAATCATGCTTATTTCTACCTTAGATTTTATGCTTAGTGTATCCTGAAGCTTATTCTCTTCCTTTATATAGAGACATTTGTTTTATAAAAGCTTCTTTCATTTAGCGTTATCATGAGGAAAGCTTTTCCTCCAGGATTATTAAGGAATATGAATGTTTTAAATTCTATTATTTTGTGAATAATTTATTAAAAACAAAATTAGTTATCTGTTATGAGCCATGATACTGTCTCGCTAATATGGCCATTTGTATTTTCCTAAGTGTGCTTTAGCTTATTTTATACATAATCATTTGAAAATTAGCAAAATTGGTTTTCCTTTGACTCTCTTTCTTCTTAGTTTAGAATGGGTCCTGGAGGAATTGTCAGATAATTGATTGGTTGACCTACATGTGCAGCTGAGGGAGTTTTAAAGATTCTTTTCTGCTTGCCACAAGGAAAGTCTCTTGAGATTCAGAACGTTAGACGCATGCAGTTGTTTAATTTATCTTGCAGTTTTAAATGTCACATAAAGTTCAAAAAACAGATTATTGAGCCATTAAACTAAAGTCTAAGATGTTTTATCTTCCTAATGGGATAACATCGAGAATCTGGTTTGGGGTTTGATCTATAACCTTGTATAACATACTTTAAATTTTTGTTTAGGCAGTTTGGAAGGGCTTTATTTTGCGAAAGAAACTGACAACAGCTCTAGAGGCTATTAAAGATGAAGAATCTGAAGAAGAATATGAAGAAATAGATTTAAAGGATTTTACATTTGATGAAGTAAGTACCAGCTACAACATATAAATACTAGTCTTGAAATGTTGTTATAATACACTATTTTGGAGCTGGGCCAGTTTCTGAGGTGTTTATCTTATTTTAAAACTAAATTACAGATTGTTTTTTCAAATAACAGTAAAGAATGTACTGACTAATCCCTAGCCCTGCAAGCTGGTACAATGTGTAATGGCAGTCGAGAATATTTACAAGAGTACCTTTGTACCCTTCAACTGGACTCACTAGAGGGTAATATCTTACTTAACCACAATTTAATGACCAAAGTTAGGGAACTGACATTGACACAAAGCTATGATCTAGTCAGCTTTATTCAACTGGCACATTGTCCTATTAATGTCTTGTTTAAAGTCTGAGATCCAATACAGGATCACAGGTTGTTTTCAGTTGTCATTTTTGTTTAACTGAAACAGTTACTCGGTTTTTCTTTGTGTTTTACAGACTTTATTCTGTGGAAGATTAGTGATAAATTATTTTGTAGAATATCTCTGAATTTGTGGTTGTTACATTAAATTCATCATGTGTTATTTTTGTCAAAAAAACAACAGAGCTGACATTACATTCTTCTTAAGGCATCAAGGCAGGAAAGTGATGGAAATTTTAATGGCGTGACATTATCCTAAACTGCATTTGGATTATATACGCAATTATAATGCATTGCCTTAACCCTTTTTGTAAGTGGATATGTAAATTGATATAACATAATGGACATATCAAACAGACCTTCTAAAGTTCTATAATTACATAATCAAAAAGTAATTATTTCAGAAAATAGCCCATGCCAAGCAAATATGAAGCACACAGCTATTCTCCTTATTTTTCTGCATCTATCTTTCTTTAATTTAATTAATTAATTAATTTACTTTTACAGACAGAGTCTCACTCTATCACCCTCGGTAGAGTGCTGTGGCATCATAGCTCACAGCAACCTCCAACTCCCGGGCTTAGGCTATTCTCTTGCCTCAGTCTCCCAAGTACCTGGGACTACAGGTGCCCACCACAATGCCTGGCTATTTTTTGTTGCAGTTTGGCTAGGGCCGGGTTTGAACCCGCCACCCTCAGCATATGGGGCCAGTGCCCTACTCACTGAGCCACAGGTGCCACCCTCTACTTATCGTTCTTAAAAGTTGATCATGTGGCTCATGCTTGTTTCTCACACTTTGAGATTCTGAGGCAGGAGAATCACTTGAGGCTGGGTGTTTGGGACCAGTCTGGGCAATATGCCTCTACAAAAACAAAACAAACTAAATTTGATTTGAGGCATATACTGATGTCATATTACATATCAGATATGGAAATGATGGCCTCGTTTACTTTTTGCAGCATTTAACTTAGGCCCATGGGTTGTAAACAGAATGTGATAGTAGGAGATAAACCTATGAAGATTCAGTAGTTCACCACAACATTGGATTTTTTTAAAGTATAGTAAACTGAAGTATACTGGGGCATCACCACCAAAGTCAAGTATGAATTATTGCTTCTTGTAGCTTCTACCACTAGGAAAGAAGTCTTAGATTCTATGGACTGCATAGTTCATGCTTTGGAATACTGTTTCTACTTTAAGAATGGCTCAGAGAAGGGAAGATCTCTATAGCAGATCCAGGCTGTGTTAACAAAAATTTCATCAAGAATAGACATTCGGTTACAAAATAATTCAAAAAGTTGTAAGGATGCATTGGTTGTCGCTAAATCAACTTATGTTCTTTTACTAAATGCCTTCTCACAATAACTAGTGTAATAATTAATTTCTAATGATTTTAATGTATTGCTATGACATTAAAATGTAAAGGCTACTACCACGTAGCCTAGCTCTAAGAGTTAAACGTAGTCTTATGTTTGTGTATGTTCATATGTAGCACATCAAGGATAATTTTGATATCACATAGTACAATGTTTTTCAAAAATTAATCAGGAGACAAAATCTATTTTTTTATATTTTCTCTATTTTTTTTCTGCAAAACTTAATTGATTGGAAATCTCCAAATTTTATTGCATTACTGATTTATGTGTTCATGAAACTTACATTAATCAAACTAAGAAGATGGAGCTGTTATAAAAGACAGAACACTATTACTCCCATCTGAATTACTTTCCTAAGTATAGTCAGGCTATACTCAAAAAGAGGCCTTTAAAATTTTAACATTATTTTTGTAACATTGGACACTGCTTTTATTGAAATTTTCTGCTAAGTACATTTCTAGAAATGTCAGGAGTGACATATGTCCTAGTTGATGTATAGATAGTATAATCATAAAATACGCAACTGTTTAACATGCTCTTTTCTCTTCTAAGATCTCAAATATTTGTTAGCATTAAACTATTTTTTCCTTAAAATTTCCTCATAAAGTCAATTATTTATTTTTAGGAAAAAATATGTTTTTATTTATATTTAATAAAATAGCTCTTGAGAAGAATTTAATCACTTTAAAAATACACTTTTATATACAAAAGATGTCCACTTCACTGTCCTTTGTAAATTTCCATCTGATGTTTTTCAAAATTACATGTAATTTACCTGATTTTAGAAGACATGAGTTAATTGAAACCTACTTACCTCAAAGGACAGAATTTTTCATAAACAAACTTTATATATGGAAAATACTATTTCCTAATGACTTGTATTAATGAAAGACCAGTTTCTGATCTTTTTAATTTGATAATATTGACTAAAATAAAATTTGCAAAGCTTTTCAGAATATCCGCATTATCAAATAAAAAAAAAAAAACATGAAGACTTTCTTCATAGTGGTTTTGCACATCTTTGGTAAGATTTATTCTTTGTTTTTGATGTTTTCTGATATTATGCATCGTAGTATATAGAAATGCAATTTATTTTTGTTTACCTTGCATTTAGCCACTTTAAGCACTACTATTTTTCATAGATGATCTTTGAAGTCTTTTATTCTGTAAACACAATCATGCCACCTGAGAATAACAAATTTTTTTTTATTTTTTTTCCAATCTTTACTATTTATTTTTCTTGCCCGAGGGTCTTGATTACTATGTCTTGTACACTGTTGAATGGTGGTGATATTAGCAAATATTCTTTCTAGTTCCTGGTCTCAGGGTGAAGCTTTCAATATTTCACTACTAAGTAAAATGTTTCCTATAGATTCCTTTTAAAAACTCTTTCTGGCTTAACAAAGTGATATTCTTTGGCATCTTACAGGGCAAGAAGATAATGATGATGCTCCTGATTCTATATGTGATTTGAATTTTATCCAATTCATTTTACTTCAACTAACATTGATTTTCAAACATTAAATCTTATGCAACCGATTTAACTATAATGTATTATCCTTTTTACTTATCACTGGATTTGATTTGCTAATAAATTGTTTAGAATTTTTGCATTTGCATTCAAGAAGTTGGGCTGGTAAATATTTTCATATGTCTGTTTGCCATTTCTGTGTTTTCACTTGAGGAAATGCCTCTGCAAATTCTTAGCTCATTTTAAATGATTAGTTTATTTGCTTGTTATTTAGTTGTTTGAGATGTGGGGTATTAACCCCTTATCAGATGTATAGGTTTGCAAATATTTTCTTCTATTCTGTAGGTCATGTCTTTCCTCTGTTCATTGTTTTCTTCACTGTACTAGAGCTTTTAATTTGATATAATCCCATTTATCTATTTTTGCCTCTGTTGTCTATATATATATATGCTTTGGGGATCATAGTCAAAAAGATAAGTGCCCAAACCACTGTGTCTTAATGTGCATGTTTCCTGTTGAGTCTCTGGTAGTTTGTTAATCATCCTTCCTACTTAATGATTTTTTTAGTCTACCTATTGAATTAACACTTTGAGTTCTTCTATTTTTAGTTTGGCAATTTCTACTTGATCAATTTTAAAATTCTGTTTAAACGTTGGAGTTTTCTATAGTTTCCTCTATTTTCTTGAACAGATTAAGTATGACATTTTCAAACTTTATCGCTTCATGCAATACCTGAGTCACCTGAAGGTTTGTTTCTACTGGCTGTTTATCTCTTGGCTTTGTAGTCAGTGGATTCTCTTTCTGGTGTGTAATCATTGACTAAGTCCGACTTCATTATAGATTTAAACATAGGTACAGATATAGATAAAGTATAAAGCCTCTAGAATATATTTGCTTTCTCTAAAGAACATTTAATTTCATTCTAGCAGGCAAAGATTGTATAGGCAGAGATGCTTCTGAGGCTGTTTTCAGCCTTGTTACAGCTGGTCTGTTTCTGGTTTCTCTTAGGATTGAACCAATCTGGTGTCTCAGCTGAAAGCCTAGGGTATTTACCAAGTTACCTTCATCTTATTTCTGATTTCTACTTCCTTCTTCACAGCACCAGGTGACAGAATAGATTTCTCCTTAGCTCGGTAGCACCCAGTTGTTGCTATTGCACTTTGCTTCTGGACATCACGTTCACACCTGCACTCGTTGAACTTGGCAGATGCATGAGGGGAAATGGTGTACATGGCTCTGGGGTCCCATCTGGCTTGTTCTTTCCTCTCTGGGATCTTGGCCTTTCATCCTAACTGCCTTGGCATCCCTGCCCTTTAATTTCTGTCCTTTCATACCAATAAAACTGCTGTAAGCAAACCTCAGGTTTATGGTTCAAATGACTTCCTTATTAATCATATTGCAAATTTCTCTGATGGAAAATGTGTAATGAGATATAGCATTCACATTGGCCTGGAATTCTACTCTAGGGGAACTTGTCTCCTAGAGTCCTGGCTACTTTAATTGCTCTTCCGTGCCTTCAGCATCTTTTTCTTTTTAAATGATGCGTGTTAGAATATTTGTAAATATTCTCAGAAGTATCTTCATTCTAATTCAAGCTGCGTCACCATCATTATTTTTGTAAATGAATATTTTAATAGTCAGTGGTCATCTTAAATATTTTAAGCAGTGTTCTTACCTCAGTGAAAAAAAGAGACAAGATTCTTGACCTCACAGGGCTGGCATTGTACTTAGAGTGACAGAGAATAACTAATTAAAAAACAGTGTACTATAGGTATTG